ACACACACACACACACACACACACACACATGTCGAATGCCCGCGCACATTTAGGCACACGGAATTACGAGGCAGAAAGAGATAGACTGGCTTGTATTGATCTCGAGGATTCAACAAACAGCACCTAGTGCCTCCCGCTCCTTCCTCTCTAACTTTACCTTACTCTTCCACCCTCGACCTCACCCCCTATCTCTAGATTCGTTCTCCACGTATTCCGTAGGATTCAACTTGTCTCTTGGATAGAGTTTGATGAGCTTCACCCTTCCACCTCTCTTTTCCGAACGATAGTTTCTGAGCCAACTAGTTAGCAGACGCTTCCATTCTCTCTCTCTCTCTCTCTTTCTCTCTATTTCATCTTTCATTTTTCCACGCTTCCATTCTTTAGATCTAGAACGACGACTTTTAAATTCGTTCAGTCAAATCGCATTTTCACCATCATTAGCTGTCAGATCAACTAACAATAAGATTCGAGATAGCAGGTGATCGTTTATTTCGTATTTTCGCAAGCCGAAGGTGCTTGTCAATCAGCCGTGATCTATATCGTTGGCGGATCGAATTGTTAACAGCGTGAGCACGTTGTCAGCGTCGAGCCATTGGATTGGAGTTTTTTCTGGAGGGTCGAAGGGAAGAAAGTTGCACGGGACACGCGATACTCGGTCCTAGTGAGCCTAGGCCACGCGATCCTGGCGCACGATCGGCCTATCATCCCCGTTGCGAACCCCTGGCAAAACAAACCCTGCCAGCTTATCCAATTCCACGGCATTTCCACGAATCTCTTCCATCTCCTGTCTCTGCTACCCAACCCTGACGCTCGTAGTTCCGACGTAAATGGAGGAGGAGACTCACATTTGTTCCAGCCACCCTCTTCTGTCTCTCTCTCTCTCTCTCTCTCTCTCTTTCTCTCTAACCCTTCGTCTCCCACTCTTCGTTTTTGCCTGTGCTTTCTCCGTTTTTACCTTTAACCCGCAATTCCTGCCATCCAACCGGTCGGTCGATTTGTCTTGTTTCTTCGAGTGAAACTGCGTCACCTTTGGAAGCCAGTGAGCTCTGAAAGCATTCGCCGCGTACGAAGGAAATGGTTCTACTTCCTGCTGTCGCCGAGAATGACGATCTCCTAATTTTTGTAAAAATAGAAATTTAGGAAAATTTGTTTTGGATCAAGACAGTTTTTTCACCTACTGTCAGATATTTCAATTCTCGGAAATTTCAATTTCTCAGAAACGAAATTTATTTTTTTTTTTTTTCTTTAATACTGTATT